TAGGATGGGCTCACCAAGGCTCAGTGGTCAACTCTCAGTAGACACTCTTCTGTTTACCATGATGGTCCTGTCTCTGAAGTCCAGCCTCTTCTTCACCACAATGTCAGGTCTAAGACCTTATTTATTACATAACTTAAACACTGTGCTCTGGGAAGTCTCCCATAAGTCAGGCTTCGACCCCACTCTTCAGGGGTTGGGTGGTCTTACAGTGCAAGATAATCAGGGACACAACAGTGAGAATTGGGAACAAAAAGAGACATGTCACATTGCCCTACAGAACTCAAGCACGACTTGAAAAAGGACAGATGAGTTGGGCTGGATCTGCATGATGTGAGGAAACACAGTCCAGTCCTTTTCTGTCTTCCACATCCTGCATTTATCTCTTCAGATTCCTGGAGACAAAGGCTTTTCTGGTTTTTGCAAGGCTCACAAAGGGCCACTTACTTACACAGCATCTTCAGGCTTTTACCCTGGGCACACAAGCCACAGAGCACAAAGAGGCAGCCGGTGCTGAAGAACAGCACCATTCCCCCTCAGAACCCCTGAGAGTGCTCCTGTAAAAGACAAGGACACACTTCTGCAAAGCACAGTGGTGCTATTGCTTCTCTGCTGAACGGTGGAAAAGCAGGCTAGGCTCGCATCAGAAGGGCATGGCAAAGAAAGAGAATAAACTTTCTCTTTGTGTGGGATACTAAATACTCATGGGTGAATTTTTGTGCTTGGATAGATTTCCATGGAGCTCTCAACAGAACTATCACTATTCCTTTAAGGTGAATGGTGAAGAAAAACAGACTGGGAAATATGTTCTCATAGGCTATTGGCACTTTATAGCTGTTATATGGAGAGTCTCAGGGCATTGTTATAGTCACTACTGATTTATGGAAAAGTCATTCAGAATAATGTATTGATGCGCAAATGGAAGAACTCAGTTGTGCCTGACCTTATAGATCTGTGTCTGAGCCCCTGCAGACATTAATCCTGTTTTAGAGTGCATCTGCCTCTTAGTGGAGATAGAAAGTCACAAACATGTCACCCCATATTTTTGTTGTAACTGTGGAGGAGTGAATCGCATGGACCGGGCTAAACAGCATGTTTTTTCTGTGCCTGTTTTTAACATGCATAGAGACAGTGGTAATGAATTATTATATGACAGCAAGAGACAGACATATGAAATGTTTGAAACACAGGAGCATCTTCACTGCCAAGAAAATTTAAAATATATTTGGAATTTTGTTCTTAATCATCTTTTATTATTAGTGTTAATAACAGTACCTGTAATTTATAGAATGACATGAATCTAGATTTTGAATGTATTACTTGATAGATATTTATAGCAACTTTCACAGATAATATTATTTTACCCTTATATGAGAAATAAAGTGCTAGGAATTTTAAGTAAACTGACAAAGTTTTATATTGGAATACAAAATAGACACAGTTTAGAGTTTTTTGAAATTAATTTATTTGTTGTGAAGGCCCAACTTGAGGTTATGGAGTTTAATGATATCTAATTCTAAGAGTGTAAGACACTGAAATAATTTTTATAATAATGAAAAATCAGAATGACATAAAAAATAAAGGATGTACATAAAATATGAGCAATATTATCAGGGTTGGAACACTGCTGTGAGTCTGTGAAGGAGAGGACACTGGATTCTGGATGAATGGATCAGAGGGTTCAATTCTGACAAAGGACAGAGAAGACAGGAGTGCAAGACTCCCTAGTAAACCAGGCCTGAGCAATTGTATGAATACAGGAGCTTTGCAATGGCAACAGCAGAACATACGTGTACTGGAAACAAGCAACTGCTAGGAAAGCAATGCCATGAGGATGAACTCAAACTCTGGCATGGCAGGCTGAATCATTCCATACCTTATATTCACCAGAGTGTTTTGCATACAGAAGTGATAAGGTAGTGGCTGAATTTTAGGAAGATCTTGTGACTTCAAAGTGGAGAGTTGGTTAAGATAACACCTAACAAAAATACAGGTACAATAGAAAAATTCAGGCTAGAGAAACATGAATTATGTACTCAGGCATGGAACTGGGGACTGAGAAAAAAGAATGACTTTGAAATATTGGTGGTAAAGTGAGTGGGGATTGTTGAAATGGGAAAAGTCATCGTTTGGAAGAACGAGTAAAGACACTTTTCCGTTAGGGTACATAGATAAGGGTTTATTCACAGAAATAGTGACATAATGCCGACCTACGTGAGGCAGGATGCTGAGGAAGGCTGTGTAAGCCGTCCATCTGTGAATGTTGAGTGTATGGGCTCAGGGAAGCAAAGAGAAATGGATTAGTTCTTCTCAGAGATAGTTGTGCACCAAAGATAACTTGGAATGAGCTGAAGTTAAAGTCTTGCCATGGTGGGTCGACATAGAGAAGAGGAAGGAGGGGTTCAGGAACCCCGGAGCAGACATGTAATGAGGTGGAGACTGGGGGATGTGGACCACGGCAGGAACAACTGTGGAGTACTGTGTCCTGAGGCTGCAGGAGAGGAGTGTCAAAGTGACAGACGTGTCACCTTCAGCACTTCCTACACAGCCAGTAAGGACAGAACTTGTAAGCCGACAGTTTCGAAATAGAAGCCGTTAGTGGCGGAGTTACCATCTCGCTCAAGGCAGCTGTGTTCAGTGTTTACTCTTGTCCCATAATATAGCTGGACTCGACCTGTTCAGATGTGTGGAAGACTCATCTGTAAAGCATCTGCAACCAGAAAGGCTTCTCTTCCTTGAAGCTGCCTTCATTCCCCCGGGTTGCAGCTTCAGTCACTGTGTTCTTCTGAAGAACTGGGTACCCGGATCTGCACATGTCTTAGCACATCAAGAATGGAGACATCTTCAACAAATGGTGCTGGTCTAACTGGGTGTCCATATGTAGAAAAATGCAAATAGATCCATATTCATCACCTGCAGAAAACTCAAGTCTAAGTGGATTGAAGAACTCAACATAGGAGTGGTATAGCTGGATCTTGAGGAAGCACTATTCCTAATTGTCTGAGAAAGAGCCAGATAGATTTCCAAAGCAGTTGTACAAGTTTACATTTCCACCAGCAGTAGAGGAGGGTTCCCCTTTCTTCACATCCTCTCCAGCATGTGATGTCACTTGAGTTTTTGATCTTAGCCATTCTGATGGGTGTAAGGTGAAATCTCAGGGTCGTTTTGATTTGCATCTTTCTAATGGCTACAGATGTTGAGCATTTCTTTAAATGGTTCTCTGCCTTTCGATATTCCTCTATTGAGAATTCTCTGTTTAGGTCTGTACCCCATTTTTAAATTGGATTACTTGATTTGTTGCTGTTTAACTTCTTGAGTTCTTTATATATTCTGAATAATAGACCTCTGTCAGATACAGGGTTGGTGAAGATCTTTTCCCAATCTGTAGGCTGTCTTTTTGTTCTGACAACAGTGTCTTTTGCTTTACAGAAGCTTTTCAGTTTCATGAGGTCCCATTTATTGATTGTTACTCTTAGAACCTGTGCTGTTGGTGTTCTGTTCAGAAAATTGTCACCTGTGCCAATGAGTTCAAGGATCTTCCCCACTTTTTCTTCTAACGTGTTTAGTGTGTCTGGTTTTATGTTGAGGTATTTGATCCACTTGGACTTTAGTTTTGTGCAGGGTGATAAGTATGGCTCTGTTTACATTTTTCTGCATGTAGACATCCAGTTGGACCAGCACCATTTGTTGAAGATGTTGTCTTTTTTCCATTGAATGGTTTTGGCTTCTTTGTAAAAAATCAGGTGTCCATAAGTGTGTGGATTTATTTCTGGGACTTCTATTTGATTCCATTGATCCACCAGCCAGTTTTTATGCCAGTACCATATAGTTTTTAGTATTGTTGCTTTATAGTACAGCTTGAGATCAGGGATGGAGATACCTTCAGAAGACCTTTTATTGTAGAGGATTGGTTTAGAGATTCTGGGTTTGAATCACTTGCCCCTGATGATGCAGCCTTACCAGGCCACAAAGGAAGAGGAACCAGGCAGTCCTGATGAGACTTGATAAACTATGGGCAGATAGCAGAGAAGGAGACCTCCCACCCCTTTTCTCTTTGGTAACTGGATCCATCACTCCAAAAAATAGATAACTACTTTTTCTGTTGCTTCTGTGACAATAGAGTGAGTCCTTTGGTATGAGAATTTTTAAACAAAGGATACAAAGCTTAAAATTTGGGTTAGAATATAGTTCAATGGTATAGCACTCCAGCAAACACACACACACACACACACACACACACACACACACACACTTACACTTACACATCTGTTCTAGGCCCCTGTTGGAATAATATCTCCTGAACTGTGTAAAGCTTGTCTTTATATTATGCAGATACTGATTTCTGTACCAGGAGAGAGTTGAGCACAGACCTGACTTTGGTATTCTTATTTTTATGAATTATCATCTGTCTAAGTGTTTTATAAACAGTTTCCCCATCGCCTTCTCAGTGGTTCAATATAGAAATGAAAGGCCTATAGCAAAGCAGAAGAGGATGAGTGGGACTTCCGAGAAAAGATAAGAACTCTGGGAAAGAGTCAGGCACAGGGATCTGCCAGCTAGGCACAGAGGGAGAAACAGGTACAGGTAGTGAGGAGAGGTAATGAGCCACATGGCAGAACTTAGATTAGTATAAACAGGTTAAGTTAAGTTATATGAGCTAGTTGGGAACAAGCGTAAGGTAAGGTCAAGCTTTCAAATTAATAAAAGGTCTCCGTGTCATTATTTGGGCAGCAGTGGGCCAGAAACACTCTGGTGACATTTATTGATGTGTGAATTGCATTCATTGGCATAACTACTATTTGAAATCCAGAATACTTACCTACCTCAGGCAGGAAGTATCAGGGCACCATATAACCCAGTAGCTCGCTACACAGTAGCTACAGTGGCTGACAGCAGTCTTACTGTAGGCTCTTGTGGTCGCTGTCTCCATCAGAACAGCTTTGACTCCCAGAAGCAGTCAATGGATTTGACCTGTCTGCCTGTTCTTACTTACCATTGAGCATCACTAGACTAGCTTCCTGACTACCCATCTCAGAAATCCTAGAAGACTCCTCCAGGAAGCAGGTTAGGGCATTAACTTGTGGATTTTGGCCCACCTCTAAATTTAGAAGTGTTTGCTTCTGCTGAACATCAACAAGACCATCCCCAAGGTCGTACGATTTTTTTTTTGTAAAACGGTCTAACCTACTGGGGTCCATTTTATTATTCTGTCATTCATAGTTCATTTCAGACATCACCAAGTAATCACCTTTGACCAAACCGTAGGTGTAATTCCATCCCATTACACTGTTGTCATTTAATTCCACTAATAACAGAAAGAAATTGAGTACACTTTTAAAGAACTATTTTTTTTATTTGTGCATGAATTTTTCACCCTCATATATGTCTGTGGACCACTTAAGTTGGTGTCCGGTGCCTGTGGAGTTACAGATTGTGGTGGACCACCAATAGGGTGCTGGGAATTGAACTTAAGTCCTCTAGAAGAGCAGTCAGTGCTCTTAAATACTGAGCCATCTGTCTAGCACCGCACAACAAGAACAACCACCACTGGGTTAATTCATTTCTTTTCAAAAGAGACTGGTTGGTGAAAACATACTGGTGTTTCTGTCAAGGAGAATCTTACAGCTCTTTATTCTAACTTAACATTTAAAAACTTGTCATAAAAAAGAGGACATAGTCTTATAGGAAGAAACTGATCAACAGGGAAAGGATTTTAGTAATATCAAGTTCTAAAGTATATCCAGTATTTTGGCATTCTGAGGTCCTTAGCAAGAACAACACATGGGTTAAGACAAATGAAATGGCAGTAAGATTTAAAAGTCTGAAGAAGGACACGGAGAGGCAGGAGTCCCACAAGGAGACCAACAAAGCTAAAAAATCTGAGCTCAGGGGGTCCTTCAGAGGCACCAACCAAGAACCATGCATGGAGAGGATCTAGACCCCTGCTCAGATGTAGCCAATTGGTAGCTCAGTCTCTATGTGGGTCCTGGAGTGAGGGGAACAGGGGCTGCCTCTATCATGAACTCAGTTGAATACTCTTTGATCACTTGCCCCTGATGATGCATCCTTGCCAGACCACAAAGGAAGAGGATCCAGGCAGTCTTGATGAGACTTGATAAGCTATGGGCAGATAGCAGAAGAGGAGAACTCCCCCTTTCAGTGGACTAGGGGAAGGGGATGGGGGGGAGGGAATGAGGGGGTTTGGGAGGAGTTGAGGGAGGGGGCTTCAATCAGGATACATAATGAATAAATTGTAAAAAAAAAATAAAAATTTAAATTTAAATTAAAGAAAAAAGTCTGAAGAATACAAATAAGAATAGATAAAACAGCGTGAGGACTTTAGAAGAGATATGACTAAAGATAACTATCTTGACAGGGAAAGAACCTTCCAAACTTTCCTATAACTATGGCAGTGATTAATGAGACTGCAGTGACTTAATGTCTGAGGAACTTGAGGTGAAACGTGGTCTGTGAGGCTACTCCTGAGACCAGGGCTACCTGCCAATGAGAGCTTGAGTCTTATTCCCAAGGCAAGACTTAAAGCATTGGGCTCTTGAAGATTGAGTAAGGAGGGCCTAACAATCAGCACATCAAAAGCAGGCAACTTGGAGAATTGTGTTAAACCACTGGACTCCAGACGTGAGGACCAAGGGAAGGGATGTGTTCTGATGAGAAGCTGAACACAGGCCCTTTGACAGGGAGCCTCTTCACACCTTCTGAGGGGTAAGTAAACCAGAGAAGGGCCTGGAGCCCCTGCTACTCTCTGACTATAGATCTCATCTCTGGCTCCCAAACTTGATTTTCTTTTCTTTTTAAAATACATCCTTTCCAGTACTTCCCTTCTCTCCATTCTTCACTTAAGTAGGGATCAGTGTCTGTGATCAGGAAGCAAGAGATAAATGAGGCTGACATCTAAACTGATCAGCAAGTGATAGACCAGGAGACTTGGCAGTCAGCGTCTATCCAGAGCAGTAACAATAAACTCCAAAGACTCTTTTATTATGTTTGATAAAAGATACATAGTGTCACAGACAAAAAAAATAAAATTACAGTGTTTAATGTAAATTCCAACTGACTTTCCAGTAACATAATGGATGATTTAAATATGAGCATAGTGGCATTGTTTTACAGTGATATTCTATCCATGAACTTCTCACCACTTCATTAAGACAGAAAATAAAATTGAAGGGATGTAAATGTTTAGAAAGAGGAAAAATACTGTTTATGCAACATTTTGTTCTATCTAGAAAAAATTTTTCAAAAACAGCAGCAATTGGAAATTGTGGAAATTAATGATAATTTAGCAGAATGGATGAAATGGAAGACAAAAACAGCCTTGTGGAAAATAACAAATATAACGAACTCTTAACCAGCAGTAATTATTTACTTGATACAATACAAAAGTGTTTTAAAATCACAACACTTTTAAAGGGAGCACAAAATGAGGTGGGCATGGTAGCACAAACCTATATATCCTAGCACTTGAGAGGTGGAGGCAGGAGGATCAGAAGTTTAAAGTCATCTTTGGATACAGAGCGAGTGTGAGGCCAATTGGGTTATACAAGACTGTCTCAAAAAGTAAGCAAATTAATACAAGATATAAACAACACAAGCTTATCAAAGTTAATGAATTCAAAAATAACAAATAACAAAAATAAGAATATAAAGGTCATATGCAAGAAAATGTATCTTTAAGTACAGAACAGCGAAATAATCATATTCTCTTTTTTAAAATCTCAAAATATTAATAATTGTAAGAGTATCGCACATGACGTTCTGAGGGTTTATTTTTTACTAGTTATGTGTATGTGTGTATGTGTCTCTGTATGTACATGTGTAGGGGTGCTCTGAGAGGCCAGAAAAAGATGTCAAATTCCCTCTATCTGGAATTATGTAATTACAGGTCTTTGTGAGTCCCATGATGTACGTGAGTGCTAAGAAACAAACTCCGGTCCTTAAAAAAGCAGCAAGCACTCTTGCCCACTCCAGCCACCCAGTACAAGATTAGCAAGAATTTTTATTTTTAATTACACTTTATTCACTTTGTATCCCCCCTCTAGTTCCCTCCCTCCTCCCCTCCCAATCCCTTTCTTCCTCCCCCTTCTCCACACACTCCCCTTCCCAAGTCCACTGGTAAGGGAGGGTTTCTTTTTCTTCCTTCTGATCCTAGTCTGTTAGGTCTCATCAGGAGTGGCTGCATTGTCTCCCTCTGTGGCCTGGTAAGGCTGCCCCCTCCTCGGGGGGAGGTGATCAAAGAGCAGGCCAATCAGTTCATGTCAGAAGCAGTCCTGCAGAGGGCCTCTGAAAGGCTCTGCCCTGCAGACTATCAAAGCAGATGTTGAGATTTATGGCCAAACTTTGGGCAGAATGCGGGGAATCTTATGAAAGAAGTAGGAAATAATAGTAAGATCTGGAAAGGATAGGAGGTCGACAAGGAGAGCAACAGAACCAAAACATTTGAGCACAGGGGTCTTTCCTGAGACTCATACTCCAACCAAGTACCATGCATTGAGATAACCTAGAACCCCTGAACAGATGTATCCCATGGCAGTTCAGTATCCAAGTGGGTTCCATTGTAATAGGAACAAGAATTTTAAAAGATGTAAATAAAGGAAGAAATCATCTATTAAAGACTTGATGCAAAAGTGGCTCTTTTTTTCCCAAAATTCATCCAAACAATGCTATTTTATAAGTGGATACAGAAATTCTGAAATTAATATAGAAAACTAGTACATGAATGTGAATTAAAATTAAAGAGAGAACAATGAAAGGAATGAAACTTTGTGTGTAAAAAACTTACTGATATTTATACAAAAATAACCAGAAATGAAGACAGTAGATTCCCAGAATAGAACTGTGCTCTGCGTGTGTGTGTGTGTGTCCACGTGCACACGAGCGTGTGCTTCTGTGTATCTTCACTATATGACAATAATGGTATAACAACCATTTGAAGCAGAGCCCAGGCTGAGTTATTCAAAATCAGTTTGTCTACATACCTCTCATTAACAACAAAACCAACTCCACATAAATTAGTTACGCTACAAACCAAAATGTCAATCATTAAGAATTAACAGCCATCCAGACATGAATATTGGTAAAAATTTTAAGGAAAAAATAATATTCTATAACTGTTACATGTTTGAATAGTGGAATATGAAACAAATGTTTTAAATTATGTATATGTCGAACTGAGTAAATATTTATCACAGTATGTAGAAAACCACCAGACAAATTGGGGAAAAGGTAACAAAAACAACAATCAAACAATCAACATTTGGGTTCTTTTGCTCCTATCTGGAATTTTTCTAAATGTTTCATTGAGAATTCAGTATGTTCAAATGTCCACAACACTATGGGTAAGACCTATTCCCTTGCACTCAGCCCAGATAACAATGGTCTTTCTGTTTCCCCTTAATCCACAGGCAGATGTTGAGAACAAGACATCCCACGAAATGAGTACTGTCTTGTGTGCAGCCAACAGCTCAGAGTTCCAAGCGTCTGAGTTCATCCTGCTGGGCTTCCCAGGCATTCCTGAGTTCCAGCACTGGCTCTCCTTGCCTTTGGCTCTGCTTTACACTGTGGCTCTTGGTGCTAATCTCCTAGTCTTCATCACCATCTCCAATGAGCCTTGCCTGCATCAGCCAATGTATAAGTTTCTTGGTATGTTGGCTTCAGTAGGTATTGGCTTGGCTACCACCAGCATTCCCAAGATCCTGGCCATCCTGTGGTTTGATGACGAAGCCATCAGCCTCCCTCCGTGTTTTGCTCAAATCTATGCTATCCACTCTTTTATGTGCATGGAGTCAGGCACCTTCCTATGTATGGCAGTGGATAGATATGCAGCCATTTGTTATCCCCTTCAATATCCTCCATAGTTACTGAACCATTTGTTATCAGAGCCACGTACTCATGCTGCTCAGGAATGGCCCTGTTAACTATTCCAGTGCCTGTACCAGCTGCCCATAGACAGCACTGCTCCAGGAACGAAATAGATCACTGCCTTTGCTCTAACTTGGGTGTCATTAGTCTGGCCTGTGATGATATCACTGTTAACAGGTTCTACCAGTTGGCCTTGGGCTGGCTTGTGGTTGGAAGTGACATGATTCTGGTCTTTGCTTCCTATGCTTTGATTATTCGCTCAGTGCTCAGGCTCAACTCCACTGAAGCAATATCTAAGGCCCTCAGTACCTTAGCTCCCACCTCATCTTCATTCTGTTTTACTACACAGCTATTATTGTATTATCTGTCACTCACCTAGCAAGAAGGAAGGTTCCCCTCATCCCGTTCTCCTCAATGTGCTGCACATCTTTATTCCGCCATCGCTTAACCCCATGATATATGCCCTTAGGACTCAGGAGCTGAGGCTGGGCTTCCAGAAGGTGTTTGGCTTGAGTGAGTATGTGTCCAGGAAGTAAACTGACTATAAATGTCCAGACATTAAATGGAGCATTGCAGGAAAAAGAAAGAATTGACTTTGAGAACAAAATACCTTGTTAAAATTCCATCTCTCCCAATTTCCCGGGGCATCTACTCAAGCTCATCTACTTTGGAAAGTACGCTGAATACGCAAAGTTACGCTGGAAGATTTTCATAAATGTCAATTTTCACTTTCTGTGATATCTTATGACACACATGTGTGGACAATGAATTAGGAAAGTTTCGTGAGGTTGACTAGGAAGTTAAAAGATGGTTGGATTTTGGACTACGAGGTTGCTAGAAAAGGTGTTTAGGGTTTTAATAGAACCCTAGACAGATGCACTAAAGCAATGAGAAAGTGAAGGCACTATGCAAAGATGTCGATTACGAGAAGCCGTGTCAGTGAAAGGTAGACACTAGGAATATAGGATAACACCAGAAAGGATGGGAGACAAAAAAAATTAAGTACTTTGTTGTTGTTGTTGTCATTTTTCAAGACAGGGTTTCTCTGTGTAGCCTTGACTGTTCTGGACTTACTCTGTAGACCAGGCAGGCCTCAGACTCATGGAGATCTGTCTGCCTCTGCCTCCCCAAGTGCTAGGATTACAGGAGTGTGCCACCACACCTGGCTAGAATACCTATTTCTTTGTAAAGTTAGAAACCCTTGGCACCTTCATATTCTGACTGGCATGATGCAGGTAAATCTCTGAGTTCAAGTCCAGCTTGGTCTACAGAGTGAGCTCCAGGACCTCCGGGGCTACACAGAGAAATACTGTCTTGAAAAACAAAAACAAAACAGAAGAAAGAGAGAGACAAAGGAAGAGGGAGGAAGGAACGAAGGAAGGAAGACAACTTTTCAGGTAGGAAATAGTTGATCATGCTTATTTTAACACAAAAATATGTTCCAAAATCACTGATATTTTAGATAATAATTTGACTCTAACTAAATTTCATATTTGCATAAGAGCAACTCTGCCCACTAAGAATACTTACTGAATGCAGCAGTAAAAGGTAAAACTACAATAAACTGAGTTTATACGTTAAATTGAATTTTACCTATCATTTTAGAATTGAGTACCAAGTCACTTCATAAAATAGAATAAACATTTCCATGAACTGGGCAGAGGTAGTTGGCTAAAGTGCTAAGGAAAAGTGCTAAAGAAAGAGAAACAGCAAAAAGTAGATTAGCTTTCCTGTTACTTTCCCTAAAGGGTTAAGACTGAAGAATATTCTCTTTTTGTAGTGACTCAAGTTGACTAGAACTTCTTGTATATGAAAAAAAAAATGGCCCAATACAAAGTTCAGGTGATTTACATGAGACTTAGCACAAGTGACTCCATTTTGCTTTGGTCTGGTGGTGACTAGTACAGGATCTTGAACCAAAACTATGGTTCATATATAATTTTTTAAATAGCAAAGAACTGTGTCAAGGTGAAGGTGAGATACAGAAAAATATACATATCACACACACACACACACACACACACACACACACACACACACCCCTTTTTTTTTCCTTTCTGCCTGATTTTGTAACTATCATCCTATGCTAAATCCCCAGCCTGATAGGAGATTTTCTTTTAATCCTCCTCTCATACAATACATCCTGATCACAGTCTCCCCTCCCTCCACTCCTTCCAGCTCTCATTGACACCTCCCTTCTCTCCCAGGTCCAATGCTCTCCCTTTCCCTTCAGAAAAGGGCAGGCCTCCCAGGGATATCACCTAAGCACAGCACAAGATGTAATAAGATTAAGAACAAACCCTCATATCAGGGCTGGGTGAGGCAAACCAGTAGGAGGAAAACACTCCCAAAAGCAGAGAAAAGTGTCGGAAACACCCCTACTCCCACTTTTAGGAATCTCACAAAAACCCATACTAAACAACCACGGCATGTATGCAGGAGACCTAAAGTAGACACCATACAGGCTTCATGATTGCTGCTGCAGTCTATGAGCATCTAGGAGTCCTGTTTAGTTGATTCTGGACTGTGTTCTCATGGTATCCTTGACCCCTATAGCTCCTACAACCCTTTTGCCCCTCTCTTCCACAGGGTTCCCTAAGCTCTACCTAATGTTTGAGCCTCTGCATCTACTCCCACCCCCTGCCAGAGGAAGCCTCTCTGGTGGCAGCTGGGCTAAGCACTAGTCTACGAGTCCAGCAGAGTATAATTAGACATCATTTCACTCACTTTTGTTCCGTCCATTGTGTGTCTCTCCTGGTCATCCAGGAAGCGTTGGTCATGGGCTCCCTCTCTTGGACCTCAAGTTAGAGCAGTCTTTGGATGGCCAATCCTATGATCTCTAAGCCACCATTGGCCCCAGCACATCTTGAAGTCAGAACAGGTTGTGGGTCAAAAGTTTTGTGGTTGGGTTGGTGTCCCGGTCCCACCACTGGAAGCCTTACTTGTTATAGAAGTGGCTGGTTCAGGCTCTGTGTCCTTTACTAGGAGTCCTCACCGGCGTCACCCTCACAGGTTCCATGAAGTTTCCACTGCACTGGGCTTCCACATTGGCCCTAAATGTTCCCCTATTCTATACATCTCTCCCAGTTCTTTCTTACTCCTCCCCTCCCTTACCCTCCTAATAGCCTTTCTGTTCCCATCCACCCACCCTTAGTCTACTTGCAAACTCTATTTCCCTTCCCAAGGAGATCCTTGCATCCCTTCTTGAGCCTCTCTGGGTCTGTGTATTGTAGTATAATTGTCCTGTACTTTACACAAAGAAAATTGCTGAGCAACATTCCGAAGCTGCGGCTGCTGGTGTAATTTCAGGGTTCAGTGATGTCTAATACATAGCATCCTTGTTTCTTTCTGGAATCCTGAACCAACCGAGAGACAATAAAGAAGTCAGATAAAGAAGAAAGTATTACAGTTATTTCTGAATAAGCCGAACGGGACAGTTGTGGGAGGAGCTAGACTCACCTCCCAGGCCCAGGCAGCAGCGGGCAGGCAGACTTTACCCAGGGCTGGCGGTGTGGCCCCGTCGGCGCGAATGAGGAACTCATACGTTCTCTGTAGGCAATTTGATGCACTTAGCAGGAATGGGCTAGTGTGCTCCAAGTTGCTTCATGTCTCTTGGGAGGAATAAGGGCAGCAAATGAAGGCCAGAGTTAGGATCACATAGCTTCCTTCACGTAGAAGGAGGCAAGAGAATTTTGGGAGAAGCATTTTCTCCACCTCTAAAAAGCATATCTATAGAAAGGGAGTGTAAAGAAATGGTGCCTGTGTCCAGAGATGGGGAAGAACACCTTATAGAAGAGAAATGGCCAAGTCTTTCAGGAAACAAGAGGAGCCTGACCCTTAGGGGAAAGGATGCTTTAGACCAAGTTTGGCAAATGCAGATGCTGGCTCGTGACCTGTTTCTGGAAGGAAAGATCTATTAGAAGACAGCTGTACTTACTTACTCACCATTCCATAGTGGCAGAGTTCAGCAGATGGAACAAAGACCACCTGAAGGCAGAAATAATTGTTTTCTGGACCTTTACAGAAGGATGTGCTGAGGTCTGTCATGGACAGAGGATGGCACACAGCTGGGTATGGGAGAGAGCGGCAGTGTGCTAAGAAAGCAAGGCTGGCGACTGCAGATGATTTGATGATGGCAGACTGTGAAACAGGCATGGGGGTGGTCCTGGGGTGTGGCAGGGTAGAGCTGTGAAAGATTCTGGTGTGCTCATCAGGAATGCGTCCCATGGCCACAGGATGGTACCCCTGGGTGAGGAGGTTGAACGGCAGGATCCTGGGGTCCTCAGAACTTTCCAGTCTCTGCAAAGCAGTTTTGTAAGCAGACAGAACAGTTCTATTAGCTTCCAACAGAAATGCACACATGTTGAGGAAATAGAGGTCATAAACTGACTCCACGAGCTGAAAAGATTCCTGTGCAAGAGAGGGCTGTTTAAAAGGATGAAACTGAGCCGGTGTGGTGGTGTGCATCTTTAATCCCAGCACTCGGAGGCAGAGACAGGCAGATCGGTGTAAGTTAGAATAGCCTGGACTACATAGTGAGTTCAGTACAGCCAAGGCTACACAGAGAAACCCTGTCTTGAAAACAAACAAACAAACAGAAAACAAAGGGATGAACCTGGCCTTTTCTAGCAGCTGGGGAGAGGGGCTGAAAGGAGGCAGACGGTCGCTGCTGCTGAACGGGAGGGTGAGTCAGGAAGATGGCTGTGCCAGGAACAGAGATGCCAGTCAGAGTCTGGATGGAGGACCCAAGATTATTCACCAGGGAGAATGAAGCAGGAGGGAACTGAGCTGAAGAGACCTCCACCAGAGAGGAGACAACTTTCTTTTGTAAAATAAGGTATTTGTTTCCAGGCTGGTTGGGCTCAGAAGGTAAAGGTGTTTCCTGCCATGGCTGATGCCCTTAAATCCAGTCTCTGTTACCTACATAATGCAAGAAGCGAACCAGTTCTTGCTGGTTGTTCTCAGATCTTCACATGGACCTTGTGCTCCCCACCCCCAGTAAATAAATATGGGCTTAAAAAGGCAAAAAAAAATCTTTGTTACCATCCAGCTGTTTGAATTAAACAATTATTACTGCAAAAAAATATTCAACATCCTTACTCATCAGGAAAATGCAAATCAAAACGACTCTGAGATTCCATCTCACACCGATCAGAATGGCTAAGATGAAAAACTCAAGTGACAGCACATGCTGGAAAGGATGTGGAGAAAGGGGAACCTGTTAGGAAACATGTGGCTGTGAAGGTTACAGGACGTCTTCACAAATCACACCAAGAGACCGGTTCCACGTGGGAGGTTTATTAGGGGAAGGGAAGGGAAAGGGGGTCGCAGAGAGACGAGAAAGAGAGAAGAGGGGCTCCAGGAGTTCTCTTATAAGGTGACCCAGGGCATGCACAGGTGATTCCAGGTGACCACCAGGTAGTCTTCTTGGTGGCTTCACAAATGCCTGATAACTGGTTTGTCAGGTCCCTTGGGGCTGGCCGTAGAGATGCCTGCTTACTGATCCCAACAGAACCCTCCTCCACTGCTGGTGGGA